TATGTAAAATAAAAAGTTTTCAAATAATGATTGTCAAATAAGAGCTAAAGTTGTGCATTTGAAAATAACATATTGTGTCACTTTTTAATTGAAAAACTCAAATACAACCACAATCGATTTGGTTTCAAATTAGTGTTCGGGAATCACAATTATGCTAATGCGTAAGTGATTGTACAAGCAACACAACATGACACATTTCTGCAGACAACAATCATACCATAAATAAATGCACATGAATCAAATCATTATTAATGTATTACTACATAAAATTACAAATAGAAATCTAGTTGAATTCTGAGAATTGCATTGCATACTATGGATTCTAACATAAAAATAAAATTAAGGAACACAAGTTAACAACCGCAAAATTTCAAGTCTAACGTTCACAGATAGACATAGTATTGATTGAAGTGAGGCAATGAGTTTGTCACTTCGTATGGTTTATTTTCCTTTTTTGATGAAATCTTTAAACATTTCAGTTTGGTTTCAAATTGCTTGCAAAATAGACAAAACCTTAATAACAAAGGGGAAAAGAGAGAATGGAAGGGAGATTATGAAGTTGATTGGGCTTGAAAAATAGTGGTTCAAGGTAGAATATATATATATATATATAAAAACCTTATTCTGTGACAAAATTTAAGTTTTGTGAGGATTTTTCAAAGTGAATAATACATAATTAATTACAAAGGTTTTAAGTTATACTTTCAAAATTAAGAAACTTATGAAAAAGTTTTAAAAATCAGCTGGTCACATTTGATAATAGGTTAAACTTACAATAACACACAATTATAGTCACAGTCACAAATCACAAATCACCATCACACATTTTTTTTAAGTCGCATATTATTTATTAATCACAACCTATTCATTTTATCAGTCACAATCACCCAAATAATTGATCACAAACGCTTTTCATCCCACTGTGTCACCACCACCAATCATCATTTGCAAATTGCTTCCGATATACAATTGCAGCCTACAATTTCACAAATTATACTAGAGGCCCCCTGATTTTAGAAAGAAAAAATCTAAAACCTTATTTTTTAAATGATAGGTTGAAAAGTAGGTGTGGGTTAATTTTCACTTTTCCAAAAGTTCGATGAAAATAGGCATATAGGGCTCAATTGCCCCAAAAAAGTGTGTTCCCTTGATGCATATGCCATCCTCGGCCTTCTTTGTTTTCGATGAAAGTAAAATCAAATCTCAATCTTCGAAAATATTTTCATTCTCTTATCTCTCTTTCTTTCTCGAGTCTTTCCTTTAATAAAAGAAAGTATAATTGTACATCATTCTATAATAAACGAGATTCTTTTAACTTCTTTTTTTCTTTGCTATCATGGATACTTCTTATTCCTACCCAATATGCCATTAAAGAGGCCAATTTACTATAAACTAAACAAATTGAAAAATGCTCTAAAGTCGATTCTTAAATGGACATTTGCATGTGTCATAACCTGTCGTCACCAACATATATATAATATATTCATGGATGTGTATATAATTATATATATAAAATAATACTGCAATATGTACTAGGATTGTTGCATTACAAGGATGGTGTATGGAGAATCTCTCAAAAAATAACCACTTTGGATGAGAATAATATTTTTTTTTTACCACAATTAATTAAAATACAATTTCCTCAAGAAGCATGATTGCTAAGATTAGAAAAGAATTTAACTTAGATTAGGGTAATCTTGGTTGAAAATGATTGAACATAGCTGATATACCTTATCAAAAAGGCAAAAGATATCTTCTTGTTAAAAAACTTCGAAAGTTTCAATTTTTATTCCCTTAAACCCTTAATCTTGGTTGAAAATTCATTGAACACAGCTGATATATCTTCTCAAAGAGGCAAAAGACATCTTCGTATCTTGTAAAAAAAAAAAACTTACACAAGTGTCAATTTTTATTCCCTTAATCCTTAATAAAATAATATATCGTATTGATTGGAAATAGATGGAAGATTTTGACGAATAGTTTTCGCTTTATCTATAAAACATAACAAATTACATTTTTGTCCAATAAATTTGAAATAACTAAACGAAATCTCTTTTTGTCATAAGAGTGGAACTCAATCTTTTGCAATTCCAGAAAAGTGTCTTTTTCGTAAAGGGACGCATATCGAAAATCTGTGTTAGCTAAATTCAAGGTATAAGAATTGACAAGGTTTTACGCTTATTGTCAACTTACCACGACTCTCTTCCGTTACCTAGAATTGAGACGGACTATAAAAAATGGGTGAAGAGTTATTTTTAATATTTTTTTGAAAAACCAATTACTTTTAATATTGATTTACCTTATCATTTATTACTACGTTTATTTAATTCTTGATTTTTTTTTTCTGAATTTAGGTTAATTAAGACATAGTAATAATGTCTATCATATTTATAGTATAAGAACATTGACAACTAAGGAAATTGTCTAGTCTAATCTGTCAGCACAAAGTTTTGGTTCAACTTTATTCAGAATATTAATGGAGATTTTTGAAGTAATAATGTTCAATAGAAGAATAATTGTAGTGAACTGATTAAGTTCCTTTGCTTCATGGACCAGATAATAATTGACTAATTGTAACTATGTCCTAGGAAACACATAAGACAGATATTTTCTGGGATGCATCAGCAATTAAAAATGGGATTTTCCAACAATTAACTTTAAATTAAGATTTGTCTGTTCAAAACTTGCTTCTTCTCCTCTAGTTCTAATTCTGAAGGTAAAGCCCATTCTATCTCCCATCTGTACTCATATTTTTATCAAATAGACAGGGTTGAAGAAACAAACCTCCACATGTGTGTGTGTGGATTTTTTTTATTTTTTTTTTAAATAGAAGGTGTTGGAAAAATGGGAACCTTATTTCATGTAACATTTGAAGATCTACCTAAAATAAACAACAATATAGTTCTAGTTTCAGCAAGAAAATTTTCTCACATTCTTATTAAACTGTAAATCATGTAAGAATCAGAAGATAATGTACATATTCCATATCCCATAAACTAGAACAAAATTTACAATTAAATAGCTAAAAGTTACCACAATACAACGGGGAACTACATTATTTCCTTCTCAAGGAGTGAAGCAGCAAGAACCGCATCCAACTTCGTCCACAAAAGTTACAGTATCAAAAGATAATGTACATATTCCATATCCCATAAAGTAAAATGCAATTTATAATTATAGTAACTGAAAGTTACCACTGTATTGTGCAATTTCTTCTATTAGTGACAGCAGAATAATCCTTTTACCTGCCCACTTCTTTTGACCAAGCAAAAACATTGTGCGCCTTCTAGTATATGAATTGTGCTGACTTATTTATATACTAAAAACTAAAAAACTTTCCTGGAATGCGAATATTGCATCCCAATGCCTTAGTATTCTTCATTATTTTAAGGTCTATGACGAAGGGAGGATGTATATATAGATTCTTCTCAGTCTGCTCAAAAAGATATATATCTCAGTTACCTTTGCCTCTCTTTGTGATCTTGTTTGACTTCAATGCCTAATTTAAAAGTGGATATTCTCAGCAATCTGCTCCACTTAAATTACAACAAGAAGCTAGTCTTATTTTCGATAAATCTGGGGTCGATTATATAATTTATTTCTTTTATAGTTTTAATGTTTTTCTTTCTTGGCTTCAATATTTTAGGAAATCAAATGAGTTGTGTTCTTGACCTCCAATCTAATAATAGTTCATATGTACTCCTACAAGGGTCAGAAAAGGGCAGTGGACAAAAAAATACAGAACGATGAGTTGGCAATATGTACTATATTTCTATTCATTGGCCTGAAAAATCAAAATAAATAAATATAAAATAAAGAAAACATGATGAGATTTTTCTGTTGTCTCTGAGTGCATGAGAATTAAAGTAGCAAAGAGCAATAGGGTAGTAAGGCAAAATAACTGGTGACATATCCCCACAGCTACAATAAAAAAAAATTAAAAAAATAGATGCAGTGTCATAGTCATCTTTATAGTGTACCTCCATTTATTACCATGTCTATTGCCTTCATTCGTTCATTCTCCATCCACTAAATTGTTCTCTGGCCCTTTTCTATCCCATTCTATTTTACCTTTTTTTCTATTGAATCTGCAGGCACACACTTAAACTTTTTCTCCTCCAATTAGGGTTTCCCAATTGAGAACTTGTAGCAATAAATCTGTGCAGAGTTCAGTTTAAAGAAACAAAGGAAAGTTTCTTGGAAGAAATCCTACAAGGAAAAAAAAAAGGTAGTTTTATGATCTTTTTTCTTCTTCTGATCAATGAAACTAGACCATAGAGGTAAATTCGTGAAAGCTCTTTACAGCTTTTCTTGGATTTGCTCACTTTGTTCTAGTGATATGTTTGTTTTGAAAAGGTCAATACTAAAATAATTAGCTTTTTTAAGTTATAGAGCTTGATCTAGGGTTTTCTTGCTTGTATATTGACCAACCTCTTTAATTATATCCATGTTTAACAAAATATCAGATAATATGCAAGAACTGTATGAAACTGTTAAATATTAATGACTACAAATTTAAGTAACAAAAATTTAATTATAAGAAGAGAAGAAAAGAAAGATGTGTAATACTCAATTTTTAATACATTTTGAACATACTTGGAGGATTTTGTTTTCTTTCTGTGAGTGGAATACTCATAAATAAAAATTTGAACATACTTGGAGGATTTTGTTTTCTTTCTGTGCGAGACTAGTGTAAGGAAACCAACAAAAAGAGGAGGGGGGGGGGGGGGGGGGGGNCCTTTCTGGCAAATAATTTTTTTTTTTGTTGAAATGAAATATCTTGTAGCTGAGGGGGAGAGAGAGCGAGATTTGCATCTGGACCTATTGCAGTCTTCCAATCTGTCTGAGGAACATATACACAACTTGCAAAGGTCTGTGATTACCATAAAGTACCAGAAACACAGTAATTTGTAAATAAAAAGAAAAATATATATTAGATTTTAATGCAAGCTAAAAGAATTAATGGATTTACTTGTTATTTCTTGATGATGCAGTGAAAAATGGCTTCATCCAGTTCATACAACTGTCCCTGTGCAGCCTGCAAGTTCTTGAGGAGAAAATGCATGCCAGGTTGCATTTTTGCACCATACTTCCCACCAGAGGAGCCACAGAAATTTGCAAATGTGCACAAGATATTCGGCGCAAGCAACGTTACCAAGCTCCTCAATGAGCTTCTCCCTCACCAAAGGGAGGATGCAGTGAACTCCCTTGCCTATGAAGCCGAAGCCCGGGTCCGGGATCCAGTCTACGGCTGCGTTGGCGCCATCACGTTCCTCCAAAGACAAGTCGAGCGCCTTCAGAAGGAACTCGACGCAGTTAATGAAGACTTAATTCGCTACGCGTGCAATGATATTCCGACCGGTTTACCTGCCACTCAAGGAGTTAATTCACTTCATTCCATGGCGGCAGCGCCCCGCCAGAGACCGGTAAGGACTAGCAATGAAAGTGGTAGCGGCTTCCATCAAACACCTTCAAACTTCCACTACCCATATCCTTTTCCATGGAATGATCATAACCCTTCTGGTAATATATATGGAGGAGGGGTAGATGGAAATATTTAAGGATATATCACCTATAAATCTAGGGTTTATGTCCCTCCCCTAGAGGAATGGTATGCATTTTTATCTTAGTTTATCATGGTCTCTAGCTAGCCTCACATGCATTCTTCTAGCTAGACTGAGTCCTATTACCCTCAAAAGAACATTATTTTGGGTGGTTTTAATAATTAAACAAATATTATAAGTCTTGTTTATTTAGTCTACAAGTGCTAGACCTGATAAGAATGTTCATGTGAAGGGTCTTAATTATTCTGTTGGATTGTTCATCATAAAGAATAAACTTGTGTGAAGTAATTATTAGCTGTTAAGGGAAAAAGGGTGATTGCATAGTAAAATTAAGTCTGCTGTTATCCTTCATTGAGCTACATGCATTCTTAATTCCTAGATTTGTCTGTTTTGTTCTTGAGGACAACTTTCTTTATATCTGGTGTGATTGATATAGCATTTGGCCCTGCTAAAGTATTTGTTAACATACGAATTGATAGGTGCACATAGACGTCCCAAAGTTTTGCTTTCAAATCTGCACTAAAATAACTGTCAAAAAATGATTCTCAAAAGCATTGCTTTTTCTTAATTTGTCTAATAAGTCAAGTAGATGAGTAGAAATTCAGTGAAGAGGAGTCATTATCAGAAGGGTTTTTCTTGTCAAATTCAAAAGATCAGAACATAAGTAGCTTTTAAGCAAAATGTCTCCTTCAAGTCAAATTTCTTTTCAGGATGGTCGCTCACACACACACACACACATGTAAGGTCATTGTAAGTCCGTCGACAACTCTTTAGCATATGTATGCCTCTGTCAAATTTGAATCTTGTCCCCTTTCGTGCTGTGTATCTCTCATCCTGTGTATAAATCTTTACTTGCAATATCAAGAACAGTGAGAAATAGTTCTTTCTCACATTGGATCCATATATTACTAAAGATGTTGGCCTTCCTTGTGGAGAGTTTCAGCTTTTCACTACCAGCACTGCTAGAAAAACAGTAGAACCCCACGCCACCCCACCCCACCCGCACCCTGACCCCACCTACCTACCCACATACCCCAACAACTTGTTTTCTGAAAAATAAACCTGCAGTTATTAGGGTTAGGGTTTAAATCTTGTACACAAAAGAGAGATTTGTATGATTCATTCTGTGTACCAGAACCACACGGGTGTTCATATCAAACAGTAAAAAGCTTCCACAATGAAACATTAGCCTCTGCCATTTCTGTTTCATCCAAAATATATGTCAGTTTCTCTGCAGTTCTATCTATATCATATCCTAAATTCTTGGGTTTTTCTCGTGATCGCATTGAATCGCCTTTGATTCATCACTTGATGGGATTCTGATTTTTAGTGGATGAAAATCAGAACCTGATCGAGAAGATTGGAGCATTCATTTGTACACAAGCAGATAATATTCATCCATCATTAATTAGCTTTTCAATCATAAATTTTTTCAACAGTAGGGGCTTGAAAATTGCTTAAAAGCTGATAATGGCGCACATGCATGTACCCCAGTAACATTTATGTATTTTTTCGCTCTAGTCAATATAAGTAAAATAAATAAACTTATAAGTTCACCCAAACACGAGCCTGTTACTACTTACGCTAAGTCGGGATCTCTACGCACTTGACACCACCTAAAAGGGATATGACCAAGCTATTTATAAATTGTTGTATAAACTCAGTGAAAATTAAATATTAATTTTAATGAGATATTCATAACGACTAATCATTATTATCAACAATTTTCTAAAGATTCATTATTATTCTTATTATTATTCCTGTGGAAGCTTAGATTTTTAGTGGAAAACATAATCAAGTCTATGAATCTAATTTTCGTTTTCTCGATATTTCATTTTAGGATAAGAAATCAATCAAATATTAATGAACCTGTAATTTTTTATCCTCCAATTTTATTTTATACCAGTAGGACCTATGTTGATATTCACTTTAGCCCAGTTTGGTGGCCATTTTGTTGGAAAGATATTGTTTTGAATATTTATTTTTTGGAGAATGTGTAGTCGAAAAGGTAGCGAATTTTTTTTTGATTTACGGGTAAAATATTTTATTGTGTGAATATATGATTGAAAATGAATATACAATTTTTTTTTTCTTTTTAAAGAATGAAACACGTACAAACAGGAGTTAATTCTTTGTATTTTCAAAGAAGCCTTCGGGGGTGGCCGAGTTAGTGGGTAGGTGAACGCGGAGGCTAAATGTCATGAGTTCGAATCCCCTGCCGCACTTCTTCGGTCGAACCCATCTCACCAGGCTTGCCTAGTGTGGTTTACCTCTCCTGTGTGGTTTACGAGTTATTGCACATGGAGCGGGGTTTACCTAGTGCACACTCACAGTGGTTGGGACTCTTCTTGCAGGTAGCGGCTCCGAGTTCCTAAGTCAACAAAAACTAAAGTTGAAGTGAGAATATAGTAATCTCCTACAAAAAATAAAATATGCATAACAATACTTTATACCTACATGATAAAAAGTTGCAATTAAAGACGGATTACTTTGTCGGTAGCTATTAAAATTTCATTGCTTGAGGGTATCAAAGATGGAAATTGTACGTTGAAAGAAGAAAGCAAAGGGTCCAATTATAAGAATTAGATATGGTCACTTTTTAAATGATGTCTTGTTATTGCCTACTTTAAATTGACATTACGAATTGTTGAAGACTAAACGGGAAAAAACTAAAAGAAACATTCAAATAGGATAGTAATTCCTTATTTATCTCTCATTTTTTGAGGACTCTTTTTTCTATATATACTCATTTTGAACCACACGTTCACACAATAAAACATTTTACACGTAAATTTAAAAAAAATTTCATACCTTTTAATCACGCATCATTCAAAAAATCATTATTTAAAACAATATTTTTTCCAAAGAAATGACCACCAAACGGTCTAAATCTCAACTCATTAAGAATATGCGTGCGTGTATGGACACGCGGAGAGACATAAACTTGAAAATCCCAATGTGAACATTAGAAATTTAGAATTGACAATAAGTTTTATGAGTTAGTGTTAAGGGTAAGCTGAAGAAACACTGCAAACTCTCTTTGTCCAAGACTTTCTTTAGGTTGAGTTTGATAAGTCTAATTTTTCAAGGAAAATGGAAAATGAATTCTTATTCCAACTATTTAACATGTTTGATATGTTTAATTTTCCAGTCAATTTTTTTTCCCTTCTCTCCCTCACGCGCCCTATTTTCCACCAAATGAAGGAAAAACATTTTCCATCTTTCAGTTGGCAATAGATTTTCCACCCAAATTTCACCCAAGTTTGAATTCACGAACCCANAAATGGAATTGCTTAATTTTTTTTTGGCAATTGAAAAAATTATAAACACAATATTAAACAAATTTATCACTTTTATTGACAATTTACATGTAAAACGAAGTCAAACGAATGATATTCAGTATGATAATTTTTAAAAAAAAATTGGCAATTGGAACAAATTCTAGACCTAATGGTAGAAAAAAATTATCACTTTAATAGACAATTTCCATAAAAAATGAAGTCAAACGGATACCAAACTTTCAGCATTTTTCAGGTGAAAATTATGCCAATCAAAGACAATTAATTATAATTTTTAGTAAAACAATTTTTAGACAATTTAATTCCTTGGAATTCATTTTTTTTTTTTCACCCATTTCACGTTCGCAATCGGAGCCTTAGTTTTTTTACTCTTTTTTCCTATCTACTTAAAAAATTATTGAGTGACATGATTACAAATAGTTTATGGCAGAGAATACAGCCCAATTCCATGTACTTTAAAGTTATCAGCCTTCATTCATCCTATGATCATAAGGTAACAAAAATTGAGCTGAGCTGAACCCCGTGTATTTAAACATGAATAGTACAACAAATAAAATTTTAACTTTAGAATAGTGTTTGATCAGAGTGGGATGGCGGGGAAGGGGAGGGACGGCCCCGGGTGGGTGGGGGGTATGGGTTTTCTGAGTTTTTGTTGGATTACTTCTGAACAATTATGCAAAATCAGAATCCTTGAAACACATCAATCTTCTTCTCTGCAAAACGTGGAAAAGAAGCAAAGAACAGGGGGGAAAAATTATGAGGTGGCCCCGTTAATGCCCCCACCATAAATTCTTAGTGTTCCTTTTGGAATTTTGGATAGGATTTATTTTCTTTAGGATTTGGATGTTTTTCAACTTCAACTCTCTCTCTCTCTCTTTTGGATTTGTTTGAGCTCTATTTTTCAAAAACTCATTCTGTTAATAAAATAATTTTATTATTACATATTCTGTTAATAAAATAATTTTATTATTACATATTCTGTTAATAAAATAATTTTACACGTAAATTTAAATTTTTTTTTTCTCCATTTTTAATCGCACAATCCTCCAAAAAGTCATTATTAAAAAATACATTTTTCCAAAAAATAGGAGTCAAACAAACCCTAAATTTGCTGAAAAATAGAAGTTCTATAATCCAAAGACTAGTCCTGATGGACAAAAATTATGTAACTCAATTTTAAGTTTAAGAAATGTTTTCGAGGTTTATTGGAAGAGTTTCGATTTTCAAAACAGACACGCTAGCTTTCTAGATGTTTTTGTGCAATCTAGGTTAAAAGTTCATGTGATGAAAACTCGTGTGAAGTCGATATTTTGATAAGTGAATTTTTTTTTCTTTTTAATATGTGACTAAAAAGTAAGAAAAAGTAATGAAAATTTTTGATTTTATTTTATTTTTTTTCAAGAATGTGACAATTTCAAAAAAAATCAGTTTCAAAAGGGCAAATGTTGAAGATGACATACGATATATAGACCATATTTATATTTTATACTATGCAAGGCCTCAAAAAGTACTTTTTCCCTAATTCTTGTTAAATATGTGTGTTCTAAGGCCTTGGTAATTCCATAGAAAATGTCACGTTCGAGAAAAATAAATTTTACTTTGACCATTTGATTGCAACGTGGAAATGGAACCGAATTCTAAAATACAACCACTTTAAGCTGCATTTTCTTTATTTACATGGAAAACGAATTCCTATGA